TTCCTCTGGAAGCTTCGTCTGAGAGGGGCACCTGGCCGCATGAGGTGTCAGTCGGCCCCTACTGTTCCTATTCAGCCATCTTGGAACCTCACTCCTCCTGCTGAATTTTCTAGTGAGACATACTGGAATTACAAGTCTACTTTTGTATACGTGTGCCTGAAAGTCAAAGTGTTTATCATATACAGTAACACATCATTAACATCTCTGCAAAATAACTGGAGGTGGTCACATTATGGCAATCCCAAAAACACACCTCGAGGAAAAATGGAAACAGACTGCCTCAATGTGGTATGATGACTATCTGCAACTTGGAACAAAATTTCCAAGAACAATACACAGATTCAAAAAGTGCTATATTCTCATCAGCAAAAACGAGATATATGACCCCATTTTTTACAACAAATAAATTACAACATCTTGGAGGTGGAGAAAGAAGAATCTATAGAGACAAAGAGACTTGACACATTTAAAAATTGCCACATACAGTTCTCATTTGGATCCTCTTCAAATGAACCAAAACGATCATGAAACAAACAGGAAAACAATCACTGAGTGGATAGGAAAATGGCAAAGTAAGGAAAAAAGCAGTTCCAAAAATGCACATGTAACTAGAAACATATACCATAAACAGACATAATAATTATGTCATCTAAATCCTTGAAAGGTTTCTAGAGTCAAGTTGGTCAAGAAAATGTTTTCAGATTTTCTTTTGTCGGGGGTAAATAGGAGACTGTCTACATTCAAGACTGCCTTGGCTGGGCACGGTGGCTCACACCTGTAATCCCAGCACTTTGGGAGGCCAAAGCAGGCAGATCACTTGAGCTGAGGAGTTCTAGACCAGCCTGGGCAACATGGCAAAACCCCAGCTCTACTAAAAATACAAAAAACTAGCCAAATGTGGTTGTACATGTCTGTAATACCAGCTGTTCAGGAGGCTGAGACGTGAGAATCACTTGAACCTGGCAGGCAGAAGTTGCAGTGAGCCACTATACTCCAACCTGGGTGATAGAGCAAGACTCTGTCTCAAAAAAAAAAAAAAGACTGCCTTAGGTTTAAGCCTGTATGGCAAAATTTAAAGTTACATTTATTGAGCACCTACTACTGGGCACTAAGCAAATAGGAATCATGTATTAATTCAGGGTTCCGCATGCTGTAGCCCACAGGTACCCAATCAATACACTGCCTGCTTGTGTAAATAAAGTTTTATTGGAATACAGTCTGACCCGTTCACTTGTATGTTGTCTATGGCCATTTTCACGCATAGTTGAATAGCTGCAACAGAGGCTGTAAACCCAGAATGCATCTGACCCTGTATTAGCTTTTTACAAGTGGTAACATTTGAAAAGCTAGCCCATTTTACACACAGGAAGAAACCGGGGCTCCAAGAGGCAGACTTTCTCAAGATCCTAATTTGAGTGGCAGGGCCGAGATTTAAACCCAAATGGTCTGATCCCAACACTCACATGCTCACCTACCACACTGTGCTATCTCCAAATAGATACGTAAGAGAAAATCTAAATGTCACCCAGTCTCATAAATAGAAGTTTGGGTATAACTTTAGAAAATTCATCCACACAATGGAATTCGAGGCAACCAAGTAAGATAATCTACATTAGACAGAAAACACATCCATTACATATTTGGGAGGAAAATACCTTACAAACCAACTTTATGTGGGAATTTCCAATTATATATAATAGCACATATAGTTTTTGTCCTACCCACCCAAAAACCCTTCTAAAGTTACACGAAATATATTTGAAAAGATACAAACCTACAAGGAGAAAGCACACAAAATGAACAGCAAAGCAAATTAAATGAGAATGGGATATTATTCACAGAAAACAGAGCATAGAAAACAGATGGGTTAATGATTATCAGCCAAGGCGATCAGAAATGGCCCAAAAACCTAAGCCTTCAGTGAGAAAAAACCAGAACCAGACTACAAGACCTCAGAAAGACTCAGGAATTGGAGGTACCACACGGTCTCTCAAAGTGAGGGTGGAAGTTGCAGATGAAATAGGAGATTAGTTGAAGTCTGTCAAGATCTCCAGACCCCCTGCTCCCACCCTGTGCAGATGGCCTGCCCTTTCCCCGACCCGGCAAAAGACAAAAGTTGATGCTCGGAAAAAGTTCA